AGAGAGAGAGAGAGAGAGAGAGAGAGAGAAAGAAAGAAAGAAAGAAAGAAAGAAAGAAAGAAAGAAAGAAAGAAAGAAAGAAAGAAAGAAAGAAAAGAAAACTAGTGTTATAGACTGACCCACTTCCCTTCCCCCTCCTAGAGAAAGAAGCTCAGGCAGGGAGGGAGAGAACTAAGTAACACAAGTATTGAGTGTGACTGTTCTCTGAGCCGAACAGCCACCATCTTGGGGAGTTCAGCTGAGCCCACTTGCAAAAGAATCATCCCAGCTTGCCTTGTTGACTGTTCACACCTCTCACAAAGGGGTGGGAGGGCCACAAGACTCTCACCTGGGCATCCAGCTGCTCTCAGCCACCTGTTTATGCAATCCAGCCTTAATTGCAGGGTTGGTAGGACACTAGAGCACATAGACTGAGGGAGGGTAGGGGAGGGGCTTCATCCAGGGGCAGAAGAGGAAGCCCTCATCCCTGCTGGGTAAAGGCTTTCCAGGGGCAGCCTGTCAGGGGAGGTGTACCCACACCTCTGTAAGCAGCCCCTCATCTATGCTCTGTATCTATGCCCAGTAAACTCATTGACTCTCCAGAGTGAACTTTAACAGGATGGTGCCCCAGTTTGTCCTTTGGACTTTAGGGGAAAAAGGATGATTGTTGCTTATGGCTCCCCCTGAGAAGGAATTTTAACAAGTAATATGAACAAACCCACCCCCTTTTAGGAACCGTTTATTTTCTCTGGACACCCCAAACCTGTCAAAGTTTGACAAAAATACAGATCTCAATTGCTCAGGAGGTTGAGGTTGAGGCAGGATAGTTAGGACAATTGAATCTGAGGCCAGCCTGGGCTTTAAAGAAAACTCTATGTAAGAGCAGGCAACATGGTGAGACCTTCGCAGGACAAAACCAGAACAACAACAACAAAGCCACCTTCGTCTGCCAATCCTGTGCACCTGTTTGTTACCATGGAAACACAGCCGATAAAAACCCAGTGGTAAAACCATGCCAGGGAAGAGGTCAAAGGGCAGGTCAGGGATTTTCTTCCCTCTGCAGATTATTTCAAACATTTCCTGTGTATCAGTATTTTGCCCGCTGTGTACCACATGTGTGCATGGTGCCTAAAGAGGCCAGAAGTGGGCGTTGGGTCTTTTGGAACTGGTGTTACAGATGGGTGTGTGCCACTATGTGGGTGCTGGGAACTGAACCCAGATCTTCTGCAAGGGTTCTCAACCACTGAGCAGCCTCTCAAGCCTCAATATGCTTATCATTAGTATTTCTTTTTGTGAATTTTTTTTCTAGATTAGACACCCAGAGGTAGAATTATTGGCTCCTCTGCAATAAGTACTCTTAACCACTGAGCCATTTATCTTGCCCCCTCAACAAAATTTTAAACTTGAGTAAAACTCATATTATTAGGAGGGAGCATACAGAGATGTAACACAATGTAAACACCGGAGTTAAAGAGCAGAACTCAGTAGTTAGAGCCTGGAGGCAGGAAGTCCTGGCTCCTTTATCCCAAATGCCCCAAAGCTCGTGTTTACTCAACTACCTGTCCAGGAGCTGCCCAGCCTTCAGGGTTTCCTACGTTCTCCACCCAATGGAAATGCCTGCAAGTTTTTCCTTCCAGAGTCTGTCATTTGGAATGATTATGACCAAACTAATGTGTCCAATCTGGCCTGGGAAGGTGGCTCTACCTGGAAAATATAGGGACTGGAGTCAAGATCCTCAGAATCCATGGAAAAACAGGGCCGGTGTTGTGATGGCCTACAATCCCAGCACTCAGGAGGCAGAAACAAGGGATCCCCGGAACAAACTAGCAAGTTAGGCTAGCCAGAATCACGGAGCTGGAATTGGCACGCTCTGAGTTCAGCCAGAGACTGAAGTGCCTCAATAAGGTGGAAATTGATTAGTATATCCGTGTCAACTTAAGGACTCCATATACATACACATATAAGTGCAAACAAGCTTGTTTAGGCAACATGTGAACACACACAATATCCAATTTACTGCATACAAACCCACATCAGGCTGCAGCAAAGGGGTAAAGGTCTAGATGGAGCACATGATATCACTCTGCTAGAAGTGACTATCTGCCCAGCTGTCGCCACAGTTGGGTAGGTGCAGACCAAACTCAATGTAATGATCTAAGGCCTTCACATCTTGCCATGTTTCTATCCGTGGATCGAGGGCAAGCAAGGCTCTACATGGTTCTGTACGTAGCTCCACACTCACACAGAGATAGGAGGCAATAGTGTGCTTGCTTTGCAGGGGGTTGTCTGACAGGCAGCTGTCTCTCCTGTCTGAAGACCAGCTGCAGAGAAGTTCTGGGCAATGTGCAGTTATCCAGTAACTTAATGGCAAGCAAAACTGGAGGCAGTTATCAGAACACTGAGTCCATTCCAAAGATCAGAAAGGTCAGGGTGTGGAGGGCTTGACAGTTGCTTGCCTTCAAATTGGATTGAATTGAAAGGAGACTAGCGGGAAGCCTCTGTGTCCCAGGATGTTAATGAAACCTGCCTTCCACTACACAGCTGGCATGACTCATACTGATTCACATCGGGAACACTGCAGGACAGGAAGGTGTTGATTCTGGAGACTGGAGCTCCACCACACCTGACTCAGAAGCACGGATGTGCCACACAGACCAGATACACAAAGAGGCGCCGACGTAGTCTGGACACATGAAATGCTGCCGTAAGAGGAAACGACACTCCTTTAGCTGCAGCACGAACACAATCCAGAATACATAGATAGTTCTGAACCACTCATTTGCAACACATAAATTCAATGGTAGAATGCACTAATACATTTAATGATGCTATTTTAATAATTCATAGGAAACACATATGTACACCCAATGAAGTCATCTTTATTGCATATTGCTATTTTAGAAAATGTACAGTCTCATAACACACACAACATCTTTTTTTCTTGGTTCTGTAACAACAGTCTTGCACCTACAGACTAAGTGGTTCCAACTACTAAGCTAATAAGATACGAGACATTTAATTAAGTTTAAAAATTATAATGCTTTGTCTTTTTGGCATTATTAAAAAAAATCTTTAAAATACATACTCAAGAGAGCAAAGTGGCTACTTATACCAGCACCAGTCTAAAAGTAGATTTTTTGTTTGTTTGTTTGTTTGTAACAATGGCACATGGAATTACCTGCACACAGTTTTTAGGAAATAAACAAAAACTGGGAATGGTAAAGGAGGCCTACCAGGATGGCTACATCAAAGTGAGGATGATTTTAAAAGGGCAAGGGGACATGCTACATGGACTTGCTCTGTTGTGAGTCTCTTTCCACAGTTCCAAAACTGAGCTGGGCCAAACTTTTCCTGCTATAAATAGAAAAGAATATACATAGAGGCACTTAATCAGGGACGGCGGACGCCATCACTCCATCCCACTCCTCCCCTCCGAGCTGGCCGAGCCAAGTCTCCATCGGCAGCACCAAGGCCACGGTGTGTTTGCAGACTGTAGCCCGGGGCTCGGAGTCAGCTCTGCTTTGTACCTGTGACTGCTCTACTGAAGAGCCGTTTACTTCCATACAATGGGTAGAAAGTCGATACGTTTGCAATGAAGGAAAAAAAGTAAAAAAACCACAGCTCTTGACAATTGATAGAGCACTGTTTCACAGCTTTTACACAGCACAGGTCCCTTGCCATCTGTACTAAGCATTATAGTTCATACAGATTATTTTTAAATAGTATGACTCCTTGTATACTATGCACATTGGTATTCTATCGTCCCTGAAAACCCGTTAAAATGTGAACTCCTTGGCGGGCAGGGACTCTGTCTTGCTTACCACTACAGCTCTACTATGCCTGGTACATAGTAAGTGCTTAATAAATATTTGATACTTGACTGAAAAACTCAATTTAGTGAGTAAATAATATTCTAGTGCAATAGGAAAAACTACTCTCTCCACAGGAAACCCAACCAAAAAGGATAGATGAAAAACATAGAGAAAACACTAGTCCCTCCCCACACCCAAGTACAAATAAATAAAGCAAAGGAAACAAAACAGTAACAGTCCTCTTTACATAGCATATAATTTAAGGATACTGAGAGTTGGCAGGTCAGTGGTAAGCATCTATATTTTATTTTCTAATGCTCATTGTTTCGTCATTTCTCCCTGAGAGCTTTATTTTTTTGGACTGAAATTGTACAGGTAGCGTCACCGACACACAATTGAAAATGACAACACGCAACAGCAATCGCTTCAAATACTCTTTGAGATAAATAGATCTGAGCATCCCTGGAGATCCCGTTGACACTGTGTCCACTGTGAGTGTCCTTTATCCCAAGACAGGCAGCACGGCCTACGCGGGAAACGGAAGCCACCCCAAAGCACCCCATAGGCCTTTAATAAGAATCTTCAGGGAGTTATTCCACTAAGTCTTGGGTGGGAAATTTCATTTTCCAGGTTTATATATCTGCATTGTTAGGTCAACAAAAAGGTTCTGGCAATCCCGGCCTTTAGCCAGGATGCAGGTGGCATTATTTAGAAAGCGTGTTTTAAAGAAAAAGAGAGAGAGAGAAAGAAAGAGAGAGAGAGAGAAATAAAGGAAGAAAGAAATCATCAAGAGCACTTGGCAGAAAAAAAATCGATGAAATTGGGGGGGGGGATCCTGGTGTTCAAGTTTTAACTATATAAAAGAATTGTGATTGACACTCTATATGATATGAATGTGTGCAAGATGTTCTCAGCAGACATCTGTAGACTGGACCCCAGCAGCAGCATCGGGACCTCGAAGCTGTTCTTCCAAGTCAGTCACTGACGCGGGCAGAGTGTCGCGCCGGCAGCCACCAAACTCATCCAAATCCGTGTTTTCCAACTCCATTTCTACCAGTGAAAAGTGTCTCACTACAGCAACCTTGGGAACCATAAAACTTCACAAGACAAGCCTTTTTTTTTTTAACTTCCTGTTTTCTTCTTTTTTTCCTTTTTTTTTTTTTTTTTTTATGTTAAGGAATGTCTCTTACTGTTTCAGGAGAGAGTATTGTGCTTCTGAACAGCCTCGGTGTTCAGGGAAAGAGAATGAGCCCCACTCAATATGAATGCATACACAGAGAGTCTCTGAGCACACACATTAACATAAACTTTTTAAGCATACACATAGGTCCCGGGACAACAGCCAGACTTCTATATACATTTTCACATATATACACATACATTTACACACACACATTCACACCTTCACTCACAGGTGAGAGAAGAAATTGCCACTGTTTGGATTGCAAGGCAGTGTAAAGAAAAGTCCTAGTCACGCCAAAGGGCTGCTACTGCGCTTTCTGGAAAAGGATGCAAGATAATTAAAAATTCAGTTTTGTGATTGGTCGCTCCCGGCTACCATCCGTCACCTGGTTGGAAATGCGTTTGCGGTTCCGTTTGAGTTTGGAAAGGTCTTTGTCAAACACTTCTCCCGAGCGTAAAGCCGAGACCAGGTCGTCAAACTCTCCGCTCTCTTCGCTGTTCTCCTTGGCCTTTCTCATCCTCCGCTCCCTTTCCCGCTGTTCTTTGAGCTGCGCACAGAAGGAATCCTCTTAGGGTTACAGGGTACTGCGGTTTCGGTACGGAAGAATTCTGGGCCATGGGGTGGGGGGTGGGGGTGGGGGTGGGGGGAATCTCTTACATGCAGCTGAAACGTGTGTGTGTGTGTGTGTGTGTGTGTGTGTGTGTGTGTGTGTGTGTGTGTGTGTGTGATGTGAGGCCACTGCAAAAGCAATGGGCGATGAAAGAAAAACGACCTTACCAACCTTGTAGGTAAGTTTCATTAGATTCTCTGCATCTGAGGGAGTTCATAGGTAATTCAGGGCTATTATGAAGGATGCTAATGTCCTTTTGGAAACTTACCATCATTTCTTGAAGGTAATTTCTAAGGGGATCCACTTGTGGGATATGGACAGGCTTTTTCTGTTTTTGAGAAACTGCCAAATTGCTCAGGAGAAACGTGGTATGGATCTAAGCTACCCGAGTCACTCTAGAATGCATGGTCACGGTGCTGTGGAAACAGCCTGGATCTGGGCCCTCGCTGGGTGCCGCGGCACCTGTCTGTCACGTGGTCCTGGCTTTGGTCCCCAGCCCCACAGCAGGGAAAGACTGAACCACAGAAAACAGAAAGGGCCACAGCCAGGCTTCCAGGGGGAGCTGCTGGGGGAGGCCTCTCACCTGGGCTTCCATGCGGGCGCGCCTCTCTTCCTCCTCCTTCCTTTTCCTCATGTTCTCATTCTCCTGTTTCGCTTCTGCCACGGCTTGAAGAAACTGATCAAAAATCCCAAAGAATTCATCTGGCTGTATTTTGCCAGCCTCTTCCCCAAAGTGCTTCACTGCTTTAGTGAACTGGAGAAAAAGATTTGAAAAAGGAAAAAAAAAAAAGACCTCAGTGTTCCAAGAGACCTGATTCCACCGTCAAATCAAATTCTCCCGAGAAGGCTGAGAGCTCAGATAGAACGGACGGACTTTAGCCAGCCTATTATTTACCTCCGGCTGCTGAGCATACCTTCTCATCACTTCCAAAGCTGGAAACGCAATACTCCCTGACTTCGGAAGCCATGCGTCCTGTCCACTTCATTCCAGCCTAACACCTACCGTTTCCTCCTACGACGGCGACTCTGCGTTAACTAAACAACCGTAGACACAAGCAGGCAGGACTGAAGGACAAGACACCCAAGACCCAGGCAAGCACAGCAGGGCTCGGGAACCTTGCGCTTTAAGCTGTCCTTTGAAGTCGTTTAATACCATTTATTGGGGCCACATGGTGAATATGAAAAACAAACGGGACCTGGGACTTCACAGCTGCTTTTCCCTATCCATAAATAAGGCTAATATTGTCTTTGGGCTCCCCAGCTCTAATCAGGAAAAATAACTGACTGTGGAGTCATTAATACCACCCAAAGTTTCTGACTGAGGCTACTGTAGGCCAATCTGTTTAATGCCTCTTTCTAAAGCTGACAAATACAAAGTTAGGGATAATTTTAAAAACTTACACAAAATATACAATAACAAAACAGTACGTGCATTCCCCCCCCCCCCCAACTGTTTCTGATTTTAGATCTCTGAGCACTTTCCTTAGTAACTTGGGGGAGAGTTTGCTATCTCAAGTCTTAGCATTACTTGGACTGCACAGGGACAGCACCACTGCTGTCAGACTGAGCTCCGGTGCTGGGCAGGGCCCAGCGTTGCTGGTCTGTGCAGCCCAGCTCAGAGGTCAGGCTTCAGAGCTAACTGAATTCTCCTTCCTGCTACTCAACGACTTTCCGATCAGACCTTCTATTCTTCATATTCAGATCACAGCAAGTGTGGAGGCCCACAGAGGCTTCCTAGTGAGACCTTACTCAGGGTCAGAGAATCTGGCCTTGCTTTACCCAGCAGGGCTATAGAATAGGGTGATCTGGGTAGGGGCGTGTTTACCAGGTGTTTGGAAGGGGTCTACACTTGGCTGTATGGTGTGTTTTGATCTTGCAAGGGGGAGGTCTTTTGCCTCTCCCCTGGATATATTATAAAAAGCTCTTTGGAATAAAGCTTGAGGTGGCTGGGTATTTGACCCAAGGCCCTCCTGAAGCTATCCTATATCTCTGTCTTTCTCCTGTCTCTTTCTATCTTTCTACCTAGTATTTCCTCATTCCTCTCTCCTCCACCTAAGAACCCTTTGAAAGATGAGAGTAGGTCAGAGCTGGACTCTGGCAGACTCCCACAAGCAGGCTTGTATCCTCTTCAATTCCATAGTTTCTAATTGACTTGATTTTTCTTGTATTATCTACATTAAAGCTTCTAATATTTTAATAAAATTATTCATGTTAAAGAAGGTGTTTTCCGTGTTCTTATAGATGACAATTTTGACTAAGATATGCATGTTGGTACACATTTCATAATTAGTTTATTATTTTAAATTTAGTTATTGTGTGTGCACACATGTAGGTGTGCAGGTGCATGTGTGCCATGGTACCCGTGTGAAGGTCAGAGGACAATCTTTAGAGTCACTTCTGTCTTCCGGCTGGGAGGCCATGAGGTTTGCATGGGAAGTGGTTTTACTTACTGAAGAATCACACTGGCCCTCCTGATTTAAAATACACTTTCTACCCTTTTCTCTTAGTGTGGAGCTATTCTCAATGTTTTACTTATTTGGAAATATTTTATTACAAAACAGAACTCTTTAGGGAAAAACCTAACATTCTTCACACACCACATTAGAGTAGTCTAGCTGGATTCATGGTTTTATAAGCTGATTTCTAAAAGTTCTGGAATGAACAAAACAGCAATAAACAGTCTACAGCTGAGCTTCTAAAATATTCAAGTTCATGCACTTTAAGCCATCATGGATGATCTTTTTATCTAGGAATTCTAGTGACGATGAAGTCATGTATATTTTAGTTTTAGAAATCTGAAGGAACCTTGGGCCAGAGTAATGTTCCCACACACAAAAACACAGGGTTCTCTGTATGTGTATTTAAATAAATAAATAAATATCCCAGTTGATTCTGTACTTTAGCTCCTTGATGAGGTAGGTTATATGTTAGGACTCTAGAGCAGGGGCCCCTTCTTTTACAAACACAAGCATGAACAGGATTCTCATGATGGCAGTTCGGGCCACACCCATGGATACTGTTTGTTTTGTTCCCACTGTGGCACAGCAGAGGTGGCTCCCTAATGGCGGCCATGTGGCACATACTGTCTCCTTTTTTATGTGGTGCGGCTGGAAGGTAGTACTGAGATTCGCTGATGTTTGTGAACACAGCCTCCAAACTTGAACTCAATAAACCACATGGAATAACCCAATGTGACCACTGGCAAATGATGCCTACAGCTCAAGTTTGAAGACTGAGGTAAAGGGTGTGAGGTGCAGCAGAAAGACTGTGCTGGTTAGTTTTTGTCAACTAGACATATCTGGACAAGTGGAATGTCAACTGAGGATGTGCCTACAACAGCCGGGCCTGTGGGTAAGTCCGCCTGGGGCATTTTCTTGATTAATGATTGATGTGGAAGGCTCAGCTCACTGTGGGTGGTACCACCCTTGGGCAGGTGGTCCTGTGTTGAATGAGGAGGCAGGCTGAGCAAGCTGTGGGGAGCAAGCCAGTGAGCAGCATTCTTCTATGGCTCTGCTTCAGTTCCTGCCTTGAGTTCCTTCCCTGACTTCCCTTCATGGTGGACTGTGATAGGGGCACATAAGCCAAATAAACCCTTTCCTCCCCAAGTTGCTCTTGGTCATTTTAGCACAGCAACAAAAAGCAAACTCAGGGATGGACAGTGTGGAATGCTGTGGTGGAGAATGGGCCTAATACCACCCATGAATAGTTAAGAAGGTACCTGAGGGAAGAAATACCAAGATAGCATGCTTAGAAGTCTTGGTTATTACCTAAAAAAATGTTATTAGCCTTTCTACATAAGAAAACAAATTTTAAATAGAATCACAAAAAAGAAATGTCTTACTAAATTAGTGTTCCTTTGCAATGATGCTGTGAAATAAAATGCATCTGTTAACATGCTCCGCATATTTGCAGAGACAGTATCCTGTCCCCTGGAGGCTCTGTTTCAGATAAGCATCTGACACAGGGACATATGACCTTGGTCATACCTGCTCCTGGCTCTCATCACTTACTCTGCTTTCAGAGATGAGCATATCAATCCAGTGGAAACCAAGGGAAAGGTGCCACCATCCCAACCCTTCGGAGTCTTGCACAGGCAAAAGGCAACACAGGACAGTTAGATACTAAGGGTTACCCTGGAGACAAAAACACAAGTGTTCCACGGAACAAGGGGATCTGGAAAACAATGATCTGCAGGTGCATTTCCTGACTGTGATATTCCAGTACTACTCCTGCTTCTTCCTAAACAGGCTGGTGTCTTTAAGCAGCACATGGGAGCTCAGGCCTGAAGGACCACACAAGTAAGTGCACAGGGAAATTTACCAGCTCCTTAGCTTCTGCCAGAAGATCTTCAACATCCGAGAAGCTAAAGCTAGCCACAGTGATGAACTGGCTGACCACGGACACGAACTTGTCTCCAGGCTGGGGAGGCTGAGACTTCTGATACTCCAGCTCCTGAAACAGGAAACAGATGCTGATGGTGAAGGTTTCATATGCACTTACACTTTGTCTCCAATTCCCCAGGACTCAAGCTGAAAAACCCAGACAGCAAACACATCTAAAAGATCTCATGTTACTCCACTTCCCTACCCTAGCCCTCTCCACACCAGGGCCACGCCCGTGTGCAGACTACTGAAAACAGCTTCTTCATTTTCTGAGTATCACCAGGGTGATTTCTCACTCTGGCTTTAGAAGCAAGTTAACGTTTAGTTCAAATCAACAGAACCCAAACAAACAGTAGGAGCACACTGGATTCAAAGGATTTATGAGGGAAAAGCTCAACTTGCTTGGTTGATGTTCTGGTGCAGAATTCTGGTGTCTTGATTTCCAGCCGCCCGCCTCCCTACCAATCCTAGTTACTTCCTAAACCATGGTATCTAGGTCAGCAGAACTGCAGCTGCAGCATGCGGCAACATAATCTCCCCTCCCTTCTTCCTGTCCACACCACTAGGTTTTGGTGAATTGACAGGTAGGAAAGTGAGTCTTTTGTTAACTTTCCACTTTCTCCACTACCGTGGTGAGGATCACATAGATGGCCGAAGTAAACTGCAGTAGCGAAGTCCAACCATTGTGAAACAAACACACATTATTAACAGCCACAGGACCACAGCATCATTATTCCCATTGCACAGACACATAGAGCTTAGTGGAATTTCATTCTTTGCTCAAAGCCAAGGAGCTGATCAATGACAGAGGCAGGATTTGAGCTCAGTTTGCTGGCTCCAGTCTATGCTAAGTGCCACCTGACTGACTGACCGTCATAGGTTTTTCCTGACCCCTCTTTGGCAAACACTATTCAGCAGGAGTGTAGTGCCCAAGGGCTTTTGGTTCTGACTCAGACTACTGCTGTCTGCTTTTAATGACAGATTGCTCTGGATCTCAGTGCCTTTCATTCTGAAAAAAGGGCAATATGCATGTGATCATGAAAATCAAATGAAATAACAAGCAAAAAGCCATAAATTATGGAGCCAGTTCTGACTGGAAGACATCACCACAATTTTAGTACCTTGGTCGAGAACTCTGTGTGTGTGTGTGTGTGTGTGTGTGTGTGTGTGTGCGTGCGTGCACACGCGCGCATGCTGGTAGAGGGATGGTGAACCATCTTAAAGAGTGTCCTTGTCTAATCACTGTATTCAGATTCATCTCTGATACTTCACACAGCATCACTGACTTGGACAAAGCACAATTAGAACACATGAATATCTGGGTGAGTTATGCTCTGTTGCCTCCTAATATGTCCAGTTATAGCTAGATATTTCAGCTGCCAGGGGCAGAGAAAGCTTCGGCCCTAGTTGGTATTTTTTGTTAACTTGATACAAGCTAGGGTCATTTGGGAAGAGGGAGTCACAGTTGAGAAAATGCCCCACTAAACTGGCCTGTAGATGTGTCTTTAGGGTATTTTCTTGACTAATAATTATTATGAGAGGGCCCAGCTCTTTGCAGGCTGTGCAGCCCCTGGGCAGGTGATCCTGCGTGGTGTAAGGAAACAGGCTGAGTAATCCATAAGGGGCAAGTCAGCAAGCAGTATTCTTCCATGGCCTCTGCTTCAGTTCCTGCCTCCAGGTTCCTATCTTGAATTTTTGCTCTGATTCCTGTTGATGATGAGTTGTGATATGGAAATGTAAATGAAATAATCCTTTCCTCCCTAAGTGGCTTTTGGTTATGGTGTCAACCACAGCAGAAAGAAACCCTAAGATAGCTTCTGCAGACCCTTGCCTACTAAGAGCATGATGTAGCCTATGTCACCCAGGAAGGAGAGGCAGCACAGCTATGTTTTAGCAAGCAAAGCTACAAGCACATCCCTGAACACCACCCTGACCGGGTCTTGGTCTATGCTAACTCAAACACAGGGCTCAAGAGTGACCGCTACCTGTCTTAGAGATGGCACAACTGCTGCTTGAGTCTCAAGAAAGTCTACCTGAGAGGGAAAAGGTAACCATTGCAGTTTATTAAGCATTCCTGGCCAATAATGTCCCGGGGAGGCTGGGCCTCCTGAGATCCATGGAGAGATGGTCAGGTACCCGTAACACAACTCTTATTTCCCCGTTAGTCCCTAGCCCCTCAAAAACATGCTCAGAAATTTTAGTGGGGAAAAAAAAGAAAAAAATATTTTTATTGGTACTGTCTTCAATGGATTCAATAGTGTCTAGGTTTGTGATTAAAACAAGAGAAACAGGGGTGCCATGGCATTTGGTGATAAACAACCTCAAGGCATTTAAGGGAGGGGCATGCCTCTGAATCAGTAACCTCACCCAGGAGAGACAGAGCCAAGCAGGCGGGACCGACCAGGAGTGGTGGCTCTCATCCCGGGCTTGCTTCCTGGCAGCCTCATTCAGGTGGCACTCCCATGGTGTCCTGACTCAGCTGTGCTACATACACTCTTCCGACTCCTCTGCCTTCGGACACATTCCTATGGTTCCTTTTGATCTTCTGTACCTGGGCAGCCCCCCTCCTATGGACCTTTTCACACCACCCTGCTTCGAAGCTGTAACTGGAGTTCATGTCCTCTAGGGGAGCACTTCCTCCGGACCATGTCAGTCCACCACCAGCCTCCAGGCTAGCCTCAATCCGGCCCTTTCATCCCGCTCCTCTTTGATCACTGTGCTTATCTAGACAGGGTCCTGCTGAGGGAACTGGCTGATCTCACCACTGCAGCATTGGAAGGCAGGGACTCTGGGTCACCATGACCTTGTGCCTTGGGCACAGTAGTCCCAAAGGTGTGTGTTTGGTAAAGACTCCTCAAAGGGCCCGTTCAACAGCAACCGAGAAGTTGCTTTAGTCTTCAGAAATCCAACATCAAACAGTAATGGCACCTGGAAATGGAGAGGGTCCTTGAAGACTGCCTCACCCGGCCCACTCATTCTGAGGAGGCCTGCTTTCCAGGTGAAGAGGTGGCCCTCGAGGTCCACTTCCAGCTCCCACTGCAGTCAGTCCCTCAGGACATCGCTGCATGGAGCTGAGCGGCCACACTGGGCACAGCTTGTGCTGGCCTGGTGGTGGTTGTTCTGTCTGATGGAGTCCTGTTTATCCCGGGCAGACTGCATGCCCAGGGTGCTTGCTCAAGGCCAGCGTGCCAGCAGAATGGTGAGGAGACCGGCAGTTACAGTGGGAAGCAGGTACTCACCATCTCCACAGCCTTCAGGCCGCTTCTCAAGGTGCTTATCTCTTTGTCCAGCTCAGTCATGCTGTGGGAGAGAGCAACATCTTGGCAGTCAGCATGAAGTTCACAGGAGTAATACACTGCGGCTTGACATAGTTCATGCTTGGGTTGGTGTGTGTGTGTGTGTGTGTGTGTGTGTGTGTTAAGTTTAGTTTAAATGATTAAAAATCCAGGGCCAGTGAGATGGCTCCATGGGTAAAGGTGCTTGCTGCCACGCTTGACAACCTCAGTTTACTCCTCAGGTGGAAGGAGAGACCAGACTCCACAGTTGTTATGACTTCCAAAGACTTGTCATGGCATGTGCTTGTACACACACACACACACACACACACACACACACACACACACAAATATGATAAAATGAAAAAAATCCCTCCCTTTTACTCTCAGATCCCACAAAAGGCTACAGCATTTTAAAGAAACATGGAACTTATATATATAGAATTTTTCTGTACATTTTTTGTTTTCCTCAGCCAGCAGGTATATTTTACAGGTTAAAAACAGAAGAAAAATGTCTCCCATGAGCACAAAAAAAAAAAAAAATTGATGTTTGACTCACAGGGTCTCTGCTTCAGCACACTGCTGTACCTAGAAATGAGCATCTGCCACACTCTGCTCTCTAGGAAAGTGGCTCACCCAGACCCCATTCAGTCTGGATGCTGCTGCTCATCACGGCCACAGCTGAGCGGACAGCACTTAGCCTCAATCAGCAGGCATTTTTCTGAGCGCTGTCATAGTTATTTCTCATTTTCATTGCCTTCTTTGTTTTTAGTGGAGAAAGATTATTTATTTCACAACTTTTAAACATTAAAGATTCAAACTCAATTCTCACAGACAATTCCCACCATAACAAAGAGCTCACCCATACTTCATTTACTCTAATAGATTAATTTCTTGTGCTACCTACTGTATTTCCTACCAAGTTCTGCAGAGGGAGATAATTAGCCTACTCATTCTAGGTTGTAAATTCACTGCGAAAAGGCACAGCTTAAGTATATATGTATATCAAAAAGTTGGGGGAGGTGAGGAACCAGTGAGGAAAGCTGCCTGCTTCCATCTCTGAAGCAGCCCAAGATCTGTGGGGAAGGTCTGGCGACTTTCCATTGTATTTTTAGTTTCTTGATTTGCATAAAGACTGCTTCCTATTAAAGGGCTGCCTGGTTCCAAGGAGTGTGTGTATCTGTGAAAATGACTGGCAGCTCCCTCACATGGACGACTGCGATTTGTTTTACATGTGTCCTCCTTTAGCTCAGGGTTCCCTGTGTTGAATAGAGCTGCTGTGCAAAAGCATTAGTGGGCTGACCCTCAGTCCTTCCACGCTGGGCAAGCACTCTGCCATTGGCAACACCCTCTGCGATTGTTTTACTCTTGTTGTCCAGGTCAGCCTTGACCTCACTTTGTAGCCCAGGCAGGCACTGAACTTGCAACCCTCTTGTCTCTGTTTTCTGAGTTGGAGAAGCTGGGATTACAGGCCTGTGCCAGCAGGCCTAGCTGCTTAGACTCTGGTTACTACGAAAATCAGGTTTTACACAATGGGGTGGCGAGTATTCCAAAGGAGTAGAACAAATATACATCCTTGAACACATCTGAATAATTTGGATGTGATTCCAACTTCCTTTCTTATGGCGTTCAGAGGGAAGGAGAGAGGGGCCGCTTCACACATCTGCACATCTGTGCGGTGAGGCTAAGCACCTCACGCTGCACAGGTAAGCTGGGAAAAGAAGCTGTCGCCGTACTCACTTGACTTTCGCGGCTTGAGGAATATCCCGCAATTCTTCATTTAAATTGAGGACCTTGGGGTACTTATTCTCCACAATAGTTATTAGATAGTGCAAAAGGGTAATGTTCCTAAAATGAAAGAAAAGGAGAACACTCAACATGATTAATCTGCATATGATTTATATACTCAAGGGGCAGGAACCAAAACACATTAAGAATTGGTAGAGTGGCATAAGAACAGTTGTTTAACCCATTAAGGAGAGCAGCTGCTTGGAAGCCTAGAAGTGCTTTGCCAGTCTGGGACAACTCACTGCTGTAGTCATTGGTGATGTTCACTTAAGGGTTCATCTGAAGAGCGGGTGGACAGACAGTCCCCATTTCAGTGCTGCTGCTAGAAGCGGACTGTAATTGTGCCATTCATTACCCATATCATGTCCCTGCAGCTGCGAAGTCACTTCTAAGTTGAGCAGTTCTTCGGCTCTTAACTGCGTGACCCTTAGTAGTTCTCACAGCTGTTGGTGCCATTTCCCTGTCTGGCGATGACAGGGCTGAACCTTGCCTGACCTGGACTGGAAGAGGGGTGTCTGATAATGCCGTCAGGCAAAGCTGTGTTAGCCTGGTCCTCCTGTCACCAGTTACGGCACATTATAGTCACCTGGGGCCAACACCAGAGAGCCATTTAACTGAGATGAGGTGGGACCAGGCATAGATATTTGTTAAAATTCCCTGGTTAGTCTAGCGTAGATGAAGAACTAATAATCTCCCAAAGCTGTTATAGTTAGGAGTATATAAATACCTGTTTAGTAACATTTCCATAATTAGGCAGCTTGCTAAATCACAAGGCTAAGCCACAATCCCCCATCCCACCTAGACCAAAGAGAATCGGAGTTGCCTATCCATTTCCTATAATAATGTAAAGCATTTCCAGTACCCTGTGGCTTTACCCAGACAATACAATCCTATTCCCAAGTCGAGGGCTCAAAGAGATTCTTTATTTTTGTTCCTGTCAGTAATTAGGAAACAATTTCCACCAAAGCAAAACAGTAGCCACTATTTTGGCTGCTCAGGCTTCTGTGAGCTTGCTACACTTTATTATTCAAGGATTCCTAGTCATAGATTCCTACCTGTTTGCCCTGGGCTTCTCTCCTGAGGGGTGGGGGTGGGAACAAAATGCCAGCAACTATCACAAGAATGCTATTTTCTTCATTATTTTAGAGACATGCTGTTTTATCTGGAGAAGTTTCCATTAACTTAATTGGACCATATGTGGTTTTAAAAATTAAACCCAGGCTAGACTTCCACATTTGTTTGCTATCCAAATAACACCTCATTTACACAAAGAGCTTTGTGAAGAATGAACAACTGAATAGTCACACATCAGGCCGGTCCTGGTGGCTACTGACTGTACCCTCACTGAAACAGCTTGACTGTCTCGACTGTATGCCCCGATCCAAGTGAACGAGCGGCTGCCCACTGGCCCACCACTCCACCAGGTAACTGTGGCATTATGCATACTGGTGCTACATTTGGGGACCATCTTCAGAAGCAGACAGAGGAGGAAAGACATCAGAAATAGTTTTTATTTATTCCTTTGAAAGAGCTTGTACACGTAAATTCTATAGTCATTTTAATAAGCAGACGACCACGTAAGCGCCAAGTCATCAGAAGGTGTGTGGATGAGCGGATATTTGATTTTGCATGTGTTTGTGTGCATGCCATCAGGCAGTTGAAGAGGTGGTGTCCTTTCAAAGACGGCTGCTCTCCATATGCGAATAAGAGGCTACAGGTCCCCATTACAACTCATAAACAAGACCTACTTATGGGCAAAGAGCAGCACTGTGGACTGACCTGCAGATCGCGGGTTAAATCCTTCTTCAGGGGTGATGAGGGGTGGGGGTGGGGGACTAAGCCACTTGGCATTTGCCTCAGTTTTTTCCTGACAACATGCGGTAAGGAACCTGGCCTGTGTACTGACGGCCTCCATGACATGTGTGGAGGTGCTCTGAAAAAGACTGGGCTCCCATCGAAACGAGGGTGGCAGGGTTTTATATAACAAAACTGCACTCGCCACTGTCTCCACGACGCAAAACTAACAGCTTAACACATGGCTTGTTCCTTTATCAAGGACTGAGGGCTGCTATACACTATGCTTCACTAACCCTATAGAAAAGATAGGGTAAAAAGTCTCATTAGCGAGGCGTAATTAGGGAGAACAGTCCATCATACTACAAGGATTTGGTTCTGAGGACTTTACCTTGGGAAGAACTGTACAAGTTCCTTTGAAGCCAGTGAGAACCTCAGAGAAACAAAGCTCTTGGGAAAACTCGAGCTAATGTGCGTGATGACCCTACCTGCTAGGGGCAGAGGAGCTGGCACCTCAGTGCCTCTGACCAGACTCTGTTCACCTCAAGTGCAGCGCTGTGCACTCCTAGGACACATTTTAATGAGCCTTGAGCTGTGCAGCTGAAGATTAGCAGGCAAATGCATTCATGTGGCTGCCGGTGCCAGCCTGAGACTAAAAGGCACATTCCTGGGCAAGCTGGCAGTTTTCTCCTTTCTCTGGAACACAGTTCTCTGTGGAGGGGTGGAGACTAGAGAGGCCATGTGACATCCAGAGCCGGAGGGCCAGTTCTCGGCTTGGGTTGTGCAGAGGTCCATCAAGCTCTATCTTTATGACCAGTGACTTCTCTCAAGTAGATTACACTATACTTAAAAGTTAAAAAGTTTTAGATTTACGTGTGTGTGTGTGTGTGTGTGTGTGTGTGTTTGTGTGTGTGTGTATGTGTGTGTGTGAAATGGCATGTATGTTGGGGTCAGAAGACAAGCTGTGGGAGTCAATTTTCTCCTCCTACCAGCTGGGGTCCAGGGACTAAACTCAGGTCTTCAGTCTTGAGGCAAACATCCTTACCCACTGAGGCATCACACCAGAACCATGAGTTATTTATTTATTCATTTACTCATTTTAAAGGTAGCCAACAAAAAAAACTTTGGAAGAGATCAGTGGTTCTCAACCTGTGGGTTGCAACCCCTTTAGGGGATTGAATGACCCTTTAACAGAGGTCACCTAAGACTATTCGAAAACACAAGTATCTACATTATGATTCATAATAGTAGCAAAATTATAGTTATTAAGTAGCAACAAAAGTAATTACATGGTTGGGGTCAGCACAATGTGAGGAACTGTACTAAAGGGTCACAGCATTGGGAAGGTCGGGAAGCACTGGAATAGACGGTGTCCCTGTGCACTGATAACGGATGAGGACCTCTGAGAACTGAAGGGCTGCCTGATTGAGACCAATGGGAGGGGAATGGAAGAGCAGGAGCATACCCTGACAGCTGTAGTGACTTGGCAGGCACTATAAAAGTTAGGTTCTACAAAAGTCACATTCTATAAAAGCACCCCGATGCTCCAAGTGCTGGAGGGTACCACACTTACTTGTCAATACTGGATTTTGTGTCTGCAATCTTGTTGAGGCTGGAGATCTTGAATCCATATGCATTGCCTCTCTGTCCTTTATTCATGTAATTTCCAAAAGCCAAAACGACCTCTAGGAGCTGCTTGAGGGCGCTGCTCCTGAACACCTCCTCTGAGCCAGAACGAATCGCTTCAAAGCAAAACACACCAGACACAATGGTTAGAGCCAGGGCTTTCAGTTATGCCTGTCCTAACTGAAGCCACATGTCCTAACAGACACTAACGATGTCAGAGCGTGTCACCAGATTGTGACTGAGCCCTTTCAAAACACACCAACTGGAAGCACAATTAACAGCTAACATGTGAGAGATCTCACAGAGAATGGCAAAATTTCTCTCCTTCCGCAGCCCTTCTCGGGACTGACTCACTAACCTTAAACAGGTAGGGAACAGAACACATGGCAGACAATTCCGTTTCCAAAAATTTGCAAAACTCCCTTGCCTCGCGTGAGTCAGATCGGTAAGTGAGTCAGTTCTGCTGATGGTCATTTGGATGGGAGCTCAGACTCCAATTCTGCTGTACATTCTGTAACTGTGTTCTGCAGTACCATCCACATCGCAAACATTTCTAAACACAACAGCCTAAAAATCTACCCTTAGAAAATCCTAGTCGGGCACTGCTACGAGAACACCAATCATAGGTTCAATGCTAGGAGTAGCAAAGCCATCCCTTAGCCACATTCAAGTGGTCAAAACCCCAGTCCCTCTGAGGAGCTCAGGCCTGTGCAGGGGCTCCAGGGCCCAGGCCAGGCCGGAGTGTGCAAGATGCAGCTCTTATGTGACCACCCACTGGAATTTCAAAAGATTTCCAGCTAAATGCCACCGAAGCAGTTCTGTTTACTTGGCGTACTTGGCTCGGAGTTGTACATGGGCACTTAAGACAAACATTGCTTCCTGCTGTGTGGCTTGGTCTTACCTTCTACTTTGGGTTTCACTTCCGCCACACGCTCTGCGAACTTCTTTTTGAAGTACAATGACTGTAGTCTTTGCTGGTAATGATTAATCCTGTAAGAGCCAGGTGGGTTGATTAACACTCAAGATGAGAGCCCAGTTCTCTAGAATCTGCATGGGGGATTTGGATGACTGCCTGGGGTCCTTCACTTCAAACCTCACTCACAGTACCCACAGCTCTTGGGGAAACAGGAGATGAAAAGGAATACGAATGTAGACTCTTCACTTTTTCCCACTTCTCTCAAGTCTCTTAACTTTTCACAAAGTTTGGCCTTTGGCAAGGCTACAAAGACTAGTGTCTGTCATACACTCCTCATGGCCACTCCCAAACCTCTCTGCCCTGCAATCAGCTCACTAAGCTAGTCTCCTAAAGGCAGGCAAGCTTAGCCTCCCACAGCACCTAGAGGGGACAGGGAACCTAGTAGCCTCTGATCTGCACCTACGCCACAAGATTCTTGTTGCTGGTTGTGGGGGTCACAGTGTGCCTTCTCACAAAGCTTCTGAAACACGTGTTTAAACCGCTCATGACAGTTTCAGTATAGAAGGTCCAGAGATCAAGCCCTTCTCTAAAACTATCCTGTTTCCCCAAAAAGACCTAGGTTTGCAGACGTGCCTCTTACTAGGTGACCTTAAGTAGGGCCTATCTGAGTCTCCTTTTCTCTGTGGGTTGATGAAGAGAATACTTCTCTCCTGGAAGTCCCTAAGGCAGGGCTGCTAGGAGGGTTACATGAGAAAACACTTGTAAAGATCTGGACAGGCTCGAGGAGCAACAGCTATCTCTTTCTGGTGGTCAGTAGCTTGTCTACACTGAGGACTGCAGAGCACAGCTTCAAAATTCCAAAGTTAGCCTTCGTTCAACGGAGTCTCCAAAATGGTAAGTTCTGAGGGAATAACACAGAAGCACATCTGGCCACAGCAGGAATGGAGAATGAGAGACAAAGGGAAGGGGCTACTGGCTTCCCAGACCACCAGCCCTTCTCTAGTGTGGAATCAGTTCACTAGACCTGAGATGGCAAACTGAATAAGCTCATACACCAAACCCATACAGAGCAGTGGCTGCCGCAGGGGGTTCTGGAAAAGGGTTCAGAAAGCTTGCTGAGGCTCCATGGGAAGAGTACATTGCCTGAGTAGTGACGTCTGCCTATGTCTTATTCATCGTGGGGCTCAGGGCGGACACTGCCACAGTCTGTCATCCCCCTCCCTCTAATTTACAACAAACCTGAGATGTCAAGGATGCTGAGCTATTATCCCCAGACATCAAAGCGCTGGTGAGCGTGACCCAGGGAACACGAGAGCACACTAAAGCCGGAGCACACGAGCCCAAGAGGCCCACAGGACAGCTGCAGAGTCGCCTGCACACTGGCTCACCCAGGGCAAGAACTCCCTACAAGCAGGGGACACGATCCCCACAGCTCCAATGTGGAGCGCTTTTAGAACTAAAACAAGCGCAAGACAGAGGATGGGTCTAAGCTCTTTATCTTGAACTGGAGTTTAATTTCCGTACTGAGGCAAAGCGCATCCTTCATTTCCAGTGTCTTCCAGCTCACCTGCTCATCTCAAACAGGAAGCGATCAGCCTTGGCCATGCGGTCCAGCTCGTGTTTATGTTCCTCTAGCAGGTCAATGTCACTTTTCTCAGGAACAAATTTCAAAAGCTAAAAGTGCATCCATGTATTAGTAGAGGGTTATAAAATCTCAGCAGTAGGTTTTTATCCTTTCAGCTAATTCGCTACAAGATGAAATTTAAGATTTTCTTCGGTTACAAGCCCTGCGGCTATTTACACATTGATATGATAGCAGCTTTAAATTGGCCCGAGAATCATCTTCTATTCTCTGGCACCTTTCCAATAAGAACTGTTGACATTTCAGAGGGCCAATCCTCTCATAAGAAGGCCATAAAATTGAATCTCTATGAAGAGAGATTCAGCCCTCAGCCTGCATTTCAAAGCAGGTGGATGTAGCTATCAGGAACAGAACCTAGGTCTCTGACTCCCAGAGTTCTATGAAGTTTTTTTCCTGTTATATCATGGTGGAATGAATAATTACATTTGTGCTTTTTATTCAGATTATTTTTTCTGTTTCTCTAATTCCACCTTCTTTATTGTTTCATGTAGAGTTCAGTGAGAGAAACAGTGGGAATATCATATTTTTTATTTCATACTGTATTTTCGAGGGTGAGAATGAGAAATGGAAGAAAGAGCAACAATATGGAAAGAAGAAAAGGTTTCTTTCCTCTATGTCTGACTGCCGTCCAAAGCACACACATTCGAACACATCTGTGTTTCTTTGCGGCTGTGTATGCGTGCTATTTTCTAAATCAAATGCTTTTCCCCCAAATCAAAGGAGACCCTCCCCACAACCTGACATGACTTGAGGGACTCATTTGATAGGTTTTCAGATGTGAGTTGGGACTCACAAAAAGCAGTTGGTCTAGGAGCGACGTGTAGAGAACGAGAATTGGAACTACAGAGAAGAAGGCATTGCTGGGAGGTGGTACTCAATTAAGAATATTCTCGGGGCTAGAGAAAACCAGTACCTGAGGGATGAGGACAAGAAGAGGAGGAGGAGGAGCCTATAAAGGAGACGGCAGAGGTTCAGCTGGAGAAGCTATGTGGCATCACATGGCCAAGGCAATGTTTCACTGTGGAGTCAGGGGCCATTCATGTCAGGCATCACCAAGAAACCAAGGAAGAGAAGAGCTGCCCAGGGTCCTGTGGCTCGGGCAACAGGAGCTGTGAATGTCCTCGCAGTTTTAGGAGGTGGAGAAGACAGATGACAGTGGGCTGAGTGAACGGGAGAGTAGGGACCGGCTCTCCAGGATTCAGAGCATGTCAGGAAGAGAGACAGTAACACTGTGTGTGCACTCACTAAAGATGGAGACTTGGCCCGCTGAGCGCTCAGAGGGTGAGGTGGAGACTGAAGGGAGGAGCAGCCCATCCAGCTGGGCCCCCGCCTAGAAGGAAAGGATGTACCAGGGCATTAGAGAAGACAGCTCCCTTGCCCTCATGGGATAGAAGGGAAGAGAAACGAAAGCAGATGGATGCCAGGTATGTTTCTAGGCATTTCTGTTCCCGGGCTCAAAGGGTGTTCTTCTGCATAGGGAAGGTTGTAGGGCAAGGAGAAGAGAGGAAGATGAAGGGTGTTCCTTTCCCCCTTAGTCTGGAGTTTTGTCTTCTGAGCTAGGGAACTCTCTTCTAGTTTCTTCTTCTAGAAAGAAACATCCTTTCTCCTGTCTGCCAGGCTCCCAGACGGTCTGTGATTAGAAAAACATCACCATTCTGTGTCTTCTGTGACTTGCAAGAGCGCAGGGAGAGGCGTGTAAAAAGCCGAGGCCCATCACAAAGCAGAGGCGAGAGAGGTAGACTGCGTGTGGATGGTTTCCCGGGGCACTGGAGCCAGGGGAGCACCTGGACCAGGAAAGATGCTTTGCGAGGAAGAGGGGCTCACTGACCTCAGCCATGCTCTGAGCATGGCAGCCACCTGCAGCACGCAGCATGGGATGCATGTGGCCCTCATGCAGGCCCCACGCAAAGGTAAGGAGATGCCGGGACAGACATCTGTCTGGAAGGGAGGCATGTGGAAGAATACCAGGCGGAAGAACATTACGACAAGGAGGGAAAGAAAGAGCGTGGGAATGGAGCAGAGAGCAAGAAGCTCACAGAATTATCAGGAGAGACCAGGTCAGAAGTGTCCTTGGCCAGATGCTGCATCAGTGGACAGACTGTCTTCCTTGTTTATTTGGAGTGTGTCTTATTTGCACTGCAAACCCTCTTGGCAGGGCTCTGCAATCCTTTCCCTCAAGGAGGAATTTTGCTGGATGCAGTTTCACAGGAAACAGATCCTGGAGAATTTTAAGCACATGGCCTTGTCGGTAGAGGCTAAAGACAGAAGGACCAGAGCAGCTTGCACACAGTTCTCCACTCCTGGTAGAGACTTGAGGTAGGGTCCCCCAGAAGCTGGGGCAGCTGTATAGTGAGAGAGGAAGAGCAGAGATCTGGAAACACCCCTGGATGGGAGGGGGCGCTTTAAACCGCATTCACAGAAAATCACGGGAGACATGAGGAAAACATCATTAACTATTTTGAAAATGAAACCAAAACCTGAGATGGCAGCTAGATAAGTTGTTCTACTGCCAAGAGTGGGGGTCTCACGCAGGACAACTCCAGCTGCAGTTCTACTCTGCTGAGTCCGCTGCCTTCCAGGATTTCAGGGGGAACCATCGGAGATGCACACGAAGACAGAGGGACAGTTTATGCAGAGTGGCCTCAGCACTCAGGACTCAAGACACCCCTTTCCATACTTTCAGAGCTGTGTATACACACAGTTGCCACGTTCAGCCTGTAGTCATGGTTGCTGGTACCCACAAATGACCTTGAGTGGGCCTGGCTCTGACAAACACAGACCTTAGACCTGGATCACCCAAAATCAAATGTGTCCCAAGGATGAGAGACAGAAAGGAAGAATATCCTTAAAGCTATTGGTCACCACAAAGCTCAGAAACCTTCAAGTCCTAAGGGACCAGGGGGAGAGAGACAGATAAAAATTCTTGGAATATGTACTGGTTAGACACCCATGATAGAGTCGGACTGGCTAAGCAGAAATGCTGCAGAATGACTTACCCATTAGACTGGGTAAAATTTCTATCCAGGAATACTTGATGTGGACTACCTATGTGTAATTCCCAGGGGCTAGCCCTGGAGTTGTGATTTATTGTGATTTATGACACAAGATGCCACAAATGAACAGAGACATGACTTAGCTCCAGTAAACAACTCAGTCCCCATAGGACAGGTGTGACCATGTAGAACAGGTGTGACTGACTGTGTAGAACAGGTGTGACTGACTGTGTAGAACAGGTGTGACTAACTGTGTAGAACAGGTGTGACTGACTGTGTAGAACAGGTGTGATTGACTGTGTAGAGCAGGTGTGACTGACTGTAGAACAGGTGTGACTGACTGTAGAACAGGTGTGACTGACTGTAGAACAGGTATGACTGTGTAGACAGGTGTGACTGACTGTGTAGAACAGGTGTGACTGACTGTGTAGAACAGGTGTGACTGACTGTAGAACAGGTGTGACTGACTGTAGAGCAGGTGTGACTGACTGTGTAGAACAGGTGT